TTTAAATATAACGTTCGTGTAATGAAAATATGCTGAATTAGACTTACGATATCCTCCAGTTTCGAGCATCCTTTCCTGGCGGTGCAGACCAAGGCGACGATAACTCCACCTCCGAACATAAGCAGAAGAAACACCGCCAATTTCCAACCGTGATCTCTTTGCGGAATAAGCTTCTTAGCCGCCGGTAACCTGGCGACTTCCGTTGTAGAGACGCCGAGGCGGGACGCCCTCACGAGAATCGTCCTGAGACGTCTCGACGCCTTCTCGCAGGCCATTTTCGTTGGGTTATTCTTCGAAGCCGATCTCGACTTCACGTGCACGTGATCCATATCTCTGGGATTCTCACTGAATTTCAGCGTCCTTGAGACAAATTACACGCGTGAAATCGCTCGATCCTCTTGCGGAAGAGAGATCTTAGAACTCCCCAGCTGCTTATAGCCTGTCCAAGTTTCAAGCGGTATGCGAACAGACATCGAACGAAATATCGGAGTATCAATGGTGTCCGGAAATAGACTCTGTCCGCGTCGATCACAATATCTACTTCGAGATATGGAATTCACCGCTAAACTTATCGACATTACAAACTGCACGAGTATTCAAATATCGCTCGATCCATTTTGCGATTAAATTTCTTCAAACACGTTCGAGCACGTTCTAAGTGTCTCTTCGAAAATCTGCTATCTTAGAGAGAGTTTTATGGTTCACTGCACTGCATTTTATCACTATCGCGTTACGCGCACTTCGAATATAAAGACCGAAGAGTCAGACAAAAGAATAGGATTTATCATTATCTCTTACTAATCTAATTTCTTAATTAGCTCGATTTAATGTCTTATTCTTCAAGTTGCAATTTTTCCATCTTTTTCCGCAATTATTTCAAACAAATATTTACTTTATCTGTTTCGAGTGCGGTGACGAGTTTTTCCAACTACCGGACTGCAATTCGGGACATCGTCGATGTCGTCAGTCTCGTCGTTCTTACGTGGAACTCTCCCAAGTTTTACGATATTATACCGGACGATCCCGTGCTATCGGGGGAGCACTACGTATACCCTCCCCCTGTAAACCGCGGACGTAACGCGTCCCAAGTCGTTATACTTTTATGCCCGTGACGTGGAAAGACGCGAAACGATGGTGGAGCTCGAATGAGAATCCGAGAAAGACGAAGAACGATGGGGATCGTCCGCCAAATAGAGAGGATTGCTGCTGAGACGTGAAATACTTTTCCGGATCTTGCTATTTGCCGAATGATACTCGCGACTTACCCTTCGTTGCCTCGAGCCACCTGGCTTCCGACCACCATCGATTTCTCGTGCGTCAGAACTTTGCGTTGTTTAGAGAGCCACTTTCGTTTAGAACGGGTAATATTTCAAATAGGATTTCAGGAAGATTGATGTGAAGATCTCAAGATTAGGTGGGTACTATCTGCTTATCTTTATTTTCTTTTGGGTTGATTCGAAAAGAACTTCACCCAATGTGCCTTGCCTTCTTACGTTGGCGTGTCTCTTGCACCCGTTCATGGGTCGAGAAGAGACCGCTTGTTGTTTGCTGATCGAGCGACTAACGTGAGATCCGAGCTTTCATGAAGACACGATTAATCTCGGCAGCACGCTCATTTCGCCGTGACCCGATGACCGGAAGGGAAATTAATTCTCCTCGATCGAACCGGCGCTCACACAACGGCCTCATATTCTTCCAGCGAGATGCTCGTTCGTGGCGCCGTCAATTTTGCTTCGATTTTACCGTTCGATGCGCGCCAGCCCATCCGTTTCTGTATAGCGTCGCGTATATGGTCGACGTACTTTTATTCGCGAAATATTGGCACTTTCACGGTTTATCCACCAGACTCCTTTTATGATCAAAGATGAGCCCTCAATGGCCAAACGACGCCGCGTCTCTTCCAGTTGCTTTCCGTTTCCTTGTATTTCCTCGATATCTGCGAATCAACAGATACAATTCTATAATACTGTTCTGCGCTTTCCGCCATTTTATCTCTACGTGTGAGACTTGCGAATCGAGCTCCATGAAATTTATTACACGGTCAACGTCAAAATACTAAATTATTGAACGTATTAAAACGGATTATTATTGAAATAAATTGAGTTTCACGTTCAATAATATTTACAAAATGTCAATTCACATGTTTACAAAGTGTCATTTACTTATTATTCTATATAAAGATTATTATTTTTCAAGACGCGATATATCGCTCGGGTATTAAAACGGTACCATTGACAGCGCAATAAATACAACACGGAGCGGGATTCCGTCGCCATAAACTTCAGTTTGAAAAACAGGCAGAAGCGGACCGAGCAAGTTCGGCAAGTTTCCGAAACTGCGATCGACGGTCGCGATTCGGGGTATAATGTGTCTCGAAGTGGATGGATTTCGAGTGCATTAAAGATGGAAGCAATATTGGAGATGGGATTATCCCCGCGCGGCCGGTGATACCACGACGAAAATACTCATCGCCGCCGCCGCCGCCGTCGCGGGGCGCAACGAATGGTTCGTCACAAGGGCCTGTGTCCGAGGATTAAGTGAGAATTATCCTGGATTCCGCTTTTCGAATTCTATCCGCTTCATCCCGTCAGCCCGTCTGCGTATACGCGTCGTGCAACGGGCGAACGGCTCCTTCTTTCCCGTAACTCTTTCCCGCTTAATCTCGAACCTACTGGTAATTGCGTTATTATACGTCTGATGGAAAGCACGCTCCTTTTCACAATAGTCACGTACGAATATATCGTTTCCTGCAGACGCCGACGGTCTCATTGTTTCCCCCGATGCCTCAATTTGCGCCGCTCTACGAAGGGAGGGAAAGTCGTTTCCTTGAGTTACGAGGACAGAAAAGTGTTAAAAGTCCATACATCGTCTTTTATGCGTACATTTTATGAGCGCACGTTCTAGTGATAAGATAAATAAAATCTGATTGATTATGAACATTGACTGACGTTTTTGTTACACAGATTTAGAGAGATGAATTAATTCACATAATTCATGTGTTTCTCACCCATGGTATTTTCGCTTATAATAAACTCAATCAAGAAACAGTGAATTTTACTAAAACCAAGATTGATGTCAGTAGCGTAAGATGAAGTAATTATCGCGATATATATCGTTGCACGGTGTACTCAAGAAAAAGCATACGTGACACGATTTCGTGGTCTCAAAGCAAATCCGTGACCGTGACGGAGATGCATTTACAAGATAACGAAATGGCACATGGAGAACGATTCCGAAATGTTCCCGAGTGCTGGCGCCGTATCTATTGAAAATCCCAGCGGTGGAGACAAACGAGGAGAATGGAGTCCTGCCGACGAAAATTACGTCGCGCACGGTCCGCGAGCGTTTCTCGCTTACATCAGCGGTGATTAATTTCGGGAGATTAGCGGGGTGCCGGTCGTTAGAATTAAACCACTCTGCATTAGACCGTCTAGCTAATTAGCTCGTCGCAATGGCCGATGGATGTAACTGCCGGATCTGCCGCATTAGAACTTAACAGATCGTACATGACCTTAACATGGCGTTCGTGTTCGCGTTACGTAAGTTCACGATTAAAAGCTACGTACTCCTAAGCCAGCTGGAAGTACAGAGAGAGAAAAGAAGGGAAAGAGAGAGGAAGGGAGAGGAAGGGAGACAAGGAAGGAGGCAGGGAGCCGAGAACGAGTCCTCAAAATGGTGAGGTTCCTTGGCACGTTCTCATACACGGGCTCTCATGCGAGTGTTACGACTATTGCAGTCTGGAGAGTTTCGAGCAGAAATTAGCACGGCGCGATTAAGCTTATGCCCTCTAAGGCCGAGATTATCGTTAGCGAGAAGTGATTTAGATACAGGCCAGGCCCCCGTGGAAAAGTTGCTAAGTTGTAGAGAGCGGCGGCCGTTCGGAGCAAGTTTCGCGGAATGGTTCGTGTGACGAACTCCCACGGAGTTGTTCCGCAAAGTCGTTCGCGATAGTATCGCACGGTGCGTGAATGTGTCGCGTGAAGCATTGCCGTCTGGGTTTGCACACGAAAATTACTCCCCACGGCCGAAAACTCTGATGAATCTAGAAATCTGTGTGTAACACGACACGATATTTTAATGGAACGTAAAAAAGTGAGCGTCGAAAAGCTTTCTTTTTTTGATTTTTCCGAGTCAGTCTTTTTATCGTGATGCAAAAATAATTAAATATTTTATTTTTCATATCATTTGTTTATGGATTTATATAATTGCTAACGCAACTGTATTTTCATTTAATAAATGCTTCTGAAATTTCGTTGCTACTTCCGTCTTATAAACGAAGCTCGAGTGATGAAATGTTATCAAGAAATTGTCTAGGCGAAATCTAATCTCGCTAATGATCTGTTCGTTCAAAAGCTGTCTTCACAAATTCGCGTCGATTAATTTCGAGACACGAGACGGTTCTTGCGATTGAGTAAATAGAAAGAATACGGGCGACTACATTGTTATTAACGTCGTCGGGGTCTAAACTTCAACGTTCGCGTTATTCTTTCGAACTTGTAGTTAAAGTAGTGTGTCGTAGGAGCAAAGTTCCAAGTTTGTGCTCGGCAGACCTCGCGCCACGGGAAGGGAGTTAAATAAAACCGGAAAGAACGGCGGCATTTCTTTTTTATTTCTTTTATTTTTTTCGCTCCCATGCGGTAATCGTCGACGTTGATCATCGAGCTCCCAGCTCTCCGAACCTTGCATCCTTCGCTCGCTATTCCGAGGTCGTCTCCCCCAACGTACTTCCTAACTCGTAGATCGTGCCCTTCTTTATTGGATAAAACTCAAGGAAGAAGCACGGCCGGCAAAGCCATCGAGCGGCCTGCTGCTCGCCAAAGAAAATGAGATAGCTTAATAAGGCAACGCGCGTCCTCCGGTGTAATTACGCGCCCCAAGTTCCTCGCTATTTTCGCGCTGCGAGTAATTAGAATACCGATAACTTCAACGAGAGAGAGAGGAAGGGGGGGAGGGAGGGGAGGGGAGGGGAGGTGGACGGGAGGGGAGGGGAGGGGAGGGGAGGGGAGGGGAGGGAGGAGGAGGAGGAGGAGGAGGAGGAGGAGG